TTGGGAAGGAAATAACATTTCGAAAGTCACTGGAAAAACTTGTAAAAAAATAATCCGTTATGCCGCGGCAGAGCGGCAGAACGGCAGAGCGGCAGAGAGAACGGCAAGAATTTTGAAATGCTCCCTTAATGATCACTCGTCTACTTTTTTCTTTAACATTATTGTCTATCATTGAACTTCCTTCTTCGGCGCAAGCAGCACGAAAATTATCATATACCGACGGCTTTTTTTGTTTAGTATGTTGCTGTTGTTGTTGTGTATCCGTGATCGGTGTTGTGGATGTTGTATTAGGAGTTGAGGTGGTTGAGAACGGCAAGAATTTTGAAATGCTCCCTAACGATGAATTAAAATATTTCACAAAAGCAGCTCAAGAATTTAATTTAAAAGTAAAACCATCAACGACATCAGCCGTTCAGTTTTGGAAAATTAATCAAGTACATTTACCATCATTGTCGTATTTAGCCAAAATTTATTTAGGCACTTGCGGCACTAGTGTACCGAGTGAATCAGCTTCTTCATCGGCTTATTTAGGTCGTAAAGAAAGAGCGCGGTTATCAGCTGAGTATATCGCATACATTTAAGTCATATGTTCTTAGAGTTTTGATGATTTTTAAAAAATTGAAGGGCAATATTTAATTTATAAAATGAGCCGTTACACAGTACTCTGGCTCCAAAAATAAATATGCTGGATGCTGATACAAGTTACAGGACGAAAATAATGCAGAATTTCGGAGATTTAGCGACTTCTAAATTGTAATGTATAAAAGCATAACACACATTTGAAAGAACGCAATCATTTCTACAAGATCCACGGACGGACTTTTTGAACTAAGCTTTTATGTTCGCACATGGAATCGAACAATTTGTGAACAGAAGACGAACCTATAATTAAGTTTTCACCATTAATGGAAACGTCATTGCAGATATGCAGTTTTATTCACTTTCAGTGCCTGTGCCAGTGCTTCACCTCCTCGGGCAGATATTTTGGTTACTCTGAAGATCAAGAGTGGTGAGGGTTCGGGCCGGGCTGTCGCGGGTCACGGGCCGGTCGGACCAATCTAAATAGTCCCGACTCTGTTTTATTATTATTTCATTTTTTTGTAAAAAATCGTGCTTCGTTTAAGTTTATGTTGATAAACTACTTGATCATCCATACACAATAGCGTTGTGTGATAAAGATGCATTAGTCTATTCATCTAACGGTGAAGGGATGCCGTTGCTACGGATTGTGTGGAATTTTTGGGGCAGTTTTATTCTGCCTTAAATACATTGGAAATGAATTCTGATCAATAATTATCGATTCAAAATAAAATTGTGCCTGTAATCGTCTAAATGCGCTTGAACTACACTTAGACTATATTAGTGATTTGTGAATACACAACGTTTCATTCAGTCCCAATTCGTCGACACGTTGATTGATTTCCTAACGATTTCTCACATTTTCTTTTCTTTTATAATGATTTTTATGTAGATATATACATTAACTTCGTTTTCTTTTCTAATTGATCTGATAGAACATCAACACGTTGCCGAGAAAGAGTTACACGATGTGGGTAGACAATTGTATAACGAAAACAGTGTGGATTTGGCTCGTTTCAATGAGTTCTGTCAAACATATGAACCAGCAAAAGCTATATGGTGGTATACGCGTGATTCATGTTTATTTAAGATTCTTAATAAAGCACTACGCCGTCAAGATTGGGATTAGGCATGCAACGGTAACGATAATTTATCGGTTTATCATTATCGGTTTTATCATATCTTACCAATTATCGCTTCTTACCGATTATCGCTTCTTGCCGATAAAACCAATAAAATTTCTAACGCTTGCTAGCGATCGAAAGCAAAATCAGAATAGAGAGAGTGAGTTTGTATCAGGAGCATCAGAAAAAAGATTTTCACATAATATTGTTATGATCTGCCATTCCTGGCAGCTCATAAGACTGTGTTTTCTTCTTCTTTTCCTTTCTTTCTGTTATTGTTTCATTCTTTCGTTTTCGTTTCTTTCTGTTGTTGCGCAACTCTTGCTTCATAATGGGATTTTCCTAAACTATTTCTGTTCTTATGTAACTCATGCGCAACTCTTGCATAACTGTTGTTCAACTTGTGTACTATATATAGCCGTTCACTTTCTTAAATAAAGATGAAAAGTGAGTGAGTAGAACCTCACAAATATTATGGGGCTCAAAAAAAGACCGGAAAGTTCGATGAGAAGTCTAGCTAAATATGACGAGCACCACATTTTACTAGTTAGCATTCAAAAAGCAAAGGGTATGCTGGTTCACAGTGTTGATTCACCGAGTTATCCGGTCATTAATTACCGGGGCATAAAGATTGAATATGCTAAATTTTTTAAATACCTCGGAATACATATAACAACCAAGCTCGGATGGGGGATTTCACAAAATATTATTTGCTAAGATATCTGCCATTCGATCATTTCACACTAATTTCCGTTAAGACAATCAAAAATAGAAGAAAAATTGTGACATATCTTTTCTTCTTTTGAGCGACAGAAAAGGTTGTATTAATAGTTAGACGAGTGTAAACTGTGTGTTTGTATTTCATCTCGATAGCGCTTCTTAAAGGTTAGCAATTATACGGGATACACTACAAGGCAATGCACTGTTGTCTCGTATACAAACAAATTATCAACTATTTTTTACTGACTTTTGTATTGAGATGACATCAGTAGCGTACAGACCTATCGGGAAAAAATAGTCAGTCTCGGTTCTAGAGGTGTGTGTAAACGTATAATTAATGGGATGTTGGTTTTATTTTGTCGCCGTATTCGGATAAACGTCAAAAGCAACGTACAGACGAGGAATCTGATAATTCTAAAATCATATGTGTGATCGAAAATCATTATGGAAATTGAATCTGAAAGAAGTGATAAATGTATGAAATCCGTATGGTGTAGTTTCACATTAATCTGCTTGCAATCGATTTGTTTTCAGCATGTCTGTTTTCGAAGACCATTCTATCCTTATAGTCAAGGACAAAGCGAGTTACACGGCGAGAAATGTTGCAGTTATAAGATATTTACAACGCATTAACGACCCATCAACTTAACTGTTTCCTTCTAGCTGGATAGTTTAAACCATTACGACAACTTTTTGACTGGTTTTAGGCATTTGAACTGGAAATGTTTTAATTTCTAAAAGTCGAAGTTTTATTACAATCGATTTAAGATGTTCATTTTAAGGTATTATTACGTTATTGCACTATTGTAGGACATCAACAATCTATTGTTCGAACATGTTCTGAAGGTAGTTTTCTTCTAACTAGGAATCTCACAGATAATTCAAAAGTTTTTAATAGTCCTGATTCCTTCAGTCCATGGTACCATCACTAGTATCAGTCAGAACTAAAGACTACCGTTTAGAGTCAAGTTTCGATGAGTTGGTAACTGAAGAAGAGAAGAATTCTTAATTTTATTAAAAGAATCAAAGATAAATTTATATTAGTGAGAATAGCGAAACAAAAGGATAAATTATTTGTTCACAAATCGTTAAAAACTGATATTTAACTACCAAGGTGGAGTGCTGTTTTCTTCCTGTTATATTAACTGTTTCAAAATGCCATGCAACTAATGATTATTTTTGTACTCGCACTCTCTCTGCCCTTTCTTGACCATCACCACAAAATTTTCAGAAAAGCCACTACAAGGAAGAGCCATTCGCGTCAGACTTGTGGCAATAAAACAGCATCTAACAGTTCGAGACCTTTTATTCACATTAAGGTGTTGATTTTTCAAATGATCGAAATCTCACTTTTCCTGGGTATGAGACACACCACCTCAGATGGTAGCAACAACTTGATTAATTCATAGATTGATGCAAGGGGGAAACTACGGACTTCAGACTTGAGCGGACTTGATCGGACTTACGGAGACTTTACCGGACTTTAAAGTCCGCAGTTTCTCCCTTGGATTGATGTCATCAAATGTCGTTTATAAAATGATAAAAATCGGATTGTTTTTATTGTTTTCTACCCGAGGTTATGCATTTTGAAAAATGATTACAGTTAGTTTTATTAAAGTTAGAGTACCTTGCATTAAGAATGTGGATTTTCTCAATACTAATGCCTAATCTACATTTAAATGAATCCATCCGTTTTTGAGTGTAAAGCATGTTTTTCTAAAACGGTGTCTTTTTCAGTAGCACAAGAAGATAAGCAGAGAAAATTAATTATTAAATGTTTGTATTAAACTGAGCTCAATGTATGCTGTTCTTACTACACCAGGCGTGAAGTCGTCGAGTACAACAATTTGTGGAAAATTGGCTCTTCGAGTTTTGAAACGAAGTATCTTCACTTTTATACGTAAAATTAATTAAGTACACTGTTGACATCAGAAGAGAAATTGTTCGTAATAAACGTATTCGCTGAAAATTTGAAAAATAATAAAATACAGACCTTGTTCAACTCCATTTTTATCAAACAGATTTTTCGTCGCTTCTTTAAGATTAATTATGTTGTTAGTTTCTTTTGTACAAATGAACGCAAATCTGTTATGATTTAAATATACGGTTGTACGATCATCAAACATATGCCTCTATAATTTACAGCATATATAAAACAGGTACCTTTTTCTTCTCATTTTATCTGCTGAACACTGACAATTAAATCACATTATCTTATGCAATTTGTTCCTGCTGTATATGTAGATGAAGTCAGCTGCACGCAAATGACAAGATTGAAAAGAATACGTACTTTTTCGTTGGAAATGAACATTTTTTGATTCCTTAAATACGTTAATATTATAAATACAGAGAAATGTTCTAATAGTGGCGTAACTAAGTCACAACTGGAAATAGCATACACAGATCCTAAAGACTGTAATACTAGTGGGAGAAATTAGTTTTGCTCAAACGAGTAATCAGGCTAATATCGTGGCTCCTTCGTGAATCATAATTCCATTCTATAGGAGTTTACTAGAGAATCTTCGTAATGCTTTCATTGTATCTTTCATAGCGCAAGGTTCTCGCTGACTCTTTCTGTGCATTCGCAATACTTAAGAATACACTCACTCACCACTGAGAGAAAAGTTATCCCTTCCATACTCCATTCCATACTCTAGTTCCATACTCAATTCCATACTCTAGTATTCAGAGCTAGGCCTATAATGATTTTATCGCAGGCCTTATTTGAAAAGAATCAATAAAGATATAAACAAAAAAAAACGTAACATTATTTATTTGAACATAGAACGAATTTCGTAGAAGAATGGATAAATTGATATGTACATATATCTTCATACAATTAGACGTGTTAATAGTTTTAATCCAAATAACTGACTTGTTTTTCCACTGACCAAATAACTGATATGTTTTTCAATAAACGAAGAAAAGTGCTTTTTCGTATTCAGCACACTCGATAACCCAGAAGATGTTCTATTCTTGGGGAAGGGTACTCTCAAAAGTTTAGGAAAAATTTTCAAACAAAATAGCATAAAAAAATTTCCATGAAAAAAACGTATTCGTTTAAAAATTTTTCCTAAACTTTTGAGAGTACAGATATGAATAGTTTTTTCTCATATACGTCTCTATTATGGTTTGCCATACAACTGGCATTTGATGGC